CTCTCCCTGCCAGCTGCAATCCCAGCCTCCTCTTCAGGGATTTCACACGGGCCCTTCTCCCGCTCCCATGGCCAAACGGGGAAGCCCAGCTCTCTGCCAGTGCCGATCACCTTCCAGCAGATGGCAAGCGCTCATCACCAACGCACTGAGCGGCAGCCACGTTCCTCAGCCTCAACATCTCAGAGGAGACCACCTCTGCTGAGCTTTGCAGGTGAACGTGTGTCAGTGGGAGATGATTTCTAGGCAGGAATGTTGTGCCAATACAGCACAGGGGTCTCCTCATTTCATCCTCACCTCTAGCCAGGAGAGGATCCCTCATCCTTCCTCACCAAAAAATGATCTGTGTTCAACCCACGTGATTCAGGAAAGCTGCTCCCCGGGGCCCTGTATCCACGAAGGTGCTCACACAGGCTCTGCCAACCCCAGCCAAGAGGCTTCAGGCCGCAAGTGCCCAAACAGACACAGCTGTGGCTGTCATGGGACGTGAAAAAAGCTGGGGCTGCGGCTCTCATGGACAGCACAGACGAGCAGTTTCTTCTTACTCTGGGAAGGAGGAATGTGCTGTTTCACTTCCAGGGCGAGTCAGCTGTATCTGCGCCAAGGACTCACGGAGCCAGGGATCATGGCCAGTAAAGGGGAAATGCAGACGGGAGCTGCCTCCCTCCCCAGGGCTCATCCTCACTGCTTGCAGGAGAAACCATCAAACACGACACTACTTTTCTCTGTATGTTTCTACTACCATCTGGGGAGAACAAAGAAGGTGCTGAAAGTGACTGGCGGGCTGATTTTTCCCTGGTTGCCACATGGAAAGGGCCCAACTAGGCCCTGCATGGGTGGACAGACAAGTCATGGGTTGCTCAACAACACGAAGCCAGGCTCTTTGGGAATGCTCCAGCCCTGAGCCCTGTGAGCAAGAGCCTGCCCTCCAGCACATCCCGGAGCTGCTCCTGCAGAGGCACCTCTCATAGACAAACGGGAACTCTCGGCAGAGGCTCAGCCTCCAAAGGTGGGGATACTTGTTCCCAAGTGTCTCTCTTACACGTGCCTAATTCTTCCTCCTTTTCAGACTGATGGCTGCTGCAGGTTTCTTTCATCCCCCTTCCAGGCCTATAAACAATTTGCCTCCCTCTTTTGGAGCCATGCCCAGGACTTTCATGTATGTTCTCAAAGTGAGGACTTTCCCTAGGATTTCTCGCCAGGTTTTATATGCTAATTCAAGAGCCTTGATCTTATCCCTTTTAAATCAGTGCTATAGACAAATAAGAGGAGAAACAGGGAAATCACGACTGCTTAGACATCTCTGCCTCTGTGATAGGAGGGAACCAACTATGGGAAACATACCCAGAGGAGCATCTGGATTTCAGAGGAAGGCAAATCACTTCACAGCTGGGATGTGAGAAAAGGATCTTTCCTTATCCCAGCTAGTCTGGAGCACAGGAACAAGACTCGCAGTTCTGCATCCACACCTCATGCAGGAAGGAGGTGCGTAAGATTCAAGCGCAGGCATTCCAAAATAGCAGAGCCTGCATTTCTGAACAACGCAGGGCCTTCTGATCTATCTATAGCCTCTGGCACAATGACTGTAGATAGAGTGCATAAGGTACTGTCCTTTTATTGCTGGAGTCATGTATGCAGAGTGCAGTAGGAATCCAGTTTCTCTGGACATTTTGCTGCCCTCCAGGCTCATTTACCCAGCCACAAACTGCTGCCTTCTTGACTGCGGTGGCTTTAGAGAATTGTACTACGTTAGTGGGCACTTGCTCTTGGTCTGGTTGTGTGAAGACTGCTGCGACATGAGACCTATCCTGGATCTAGGCAAAATCTGCTGCTGGGACAAGTCAACCTTAAAGCAGCTGTCCCCAGCACCTAACACATATTCAGCACACAGAGCTCGTGTGCTGGCAAAGGCAGCACAGACATGCAGAAACACAGCAAGTAGCCTTCCTTCTGCTGAGCGAGAGCAATGTGCTATATCCACTTAGTCAGGGCTGCTGGGCCTGCTCCCATTTGCTCCTCTTTTACTCCTCACATTTTGCCATGCATGAATAGTGAGATCCTGTGTTTTCTTAGACTCAGGGGCAAAAGACGCACTGCTGAGGAGGAGCCACACTTCCTCTTGGAGGAACTGTGTTTGCTCTTCATTTCTTCAGTGGTATCAGAGAGGCACCACCAGCACGTGGAGCTGCCTATGCTGGGGCACCTGAATCATGACAGCATCTCAGTAGGACCATTTTAAAGTTGCTCCATCATGCTGCCCATGCCAATGCTTTGGTCTGCTCCACAGGACACTTTTCTGACGTGATTTGTCATCTTGTGGTAACATTTGGGATCTCATGATAACACTCCATTCCTTCCATCTCTTAACAGTGTTGCAGTCTACACATTACTTCTCCTTGGCATTGGAAACAGCCTCATTCCTCATGCTCCAGCCACCCTTCTCCTCTTTGATCCATCTATAGGATTTGCTTCCTATCTATAGTCATCCAGTACTGAGATCCAGGTGGTATTCTTGAACTCTGTTCTATCACTCTCACTGGGCCGGTGCAGAGTAAATTCACCATAAAAATATTAAAGGACAACTTTCTTCCAAGGCTTTTCAAATGGACTTTATCAGATAAGCCTCATCCCTGCTTCATCCTCCCAAAGATTACAGCACTATAAGCTATAAGCAGACAGTGGAGACTCTCTGAAGTATCAGCAATGTCCTGTAACAGATTATGCTCCATCTACTGAGACCATCCGAGCAGGGCACAGATACTGTGCCCAAACACAGCTCTATTCAGTGGAGTCTTTCCAGCTTCTTTTGTTAAGGGCTGATCCTTGTTCCTCTCACTCTCACCTTTCATCTCTTTTAGCTTTTACCTCCTCTGCCCTCTTTTGTTTGCACAATTTCTCCAGAGAAAATAAAGGACACTCAAATTATCACCTACTCTTGTATCTTTTCTGCAGCACTTTATTGTGTTTCCCTTTTAATGTGTCAGCTCTCTCAAGATGATGCTACCTTTTGTGCTGTTGCCTGTAAGATGCCTTGCACAACACAGCCAAGAACTTGGCAGGAATCCTTAAGTGCTACTATAAAGCAAATAAATAATCCATCATTATCCTTTCTATTTATCTATGAGTCTTCTCTAATAGGTCTTGATATTATTGTGGTGATGAGGACATGGTGAAATTAAATAATATTACATTCAGTTGACATCTATTCCCTTATGTTTCCCTGGAAACACAGGTAAATAAGTAAGTATTTAAGTATAAGTATTTAATAGCTCTCCAGTGACAATGAATGTTCACTTATATGCCACAGATGTGTACTTGATTTGAAAATAAGGACAGTAATTAAAGAGATACCAAGGTTAGAAAGCAACAAAAGAAATGTAACCTTTGAAAGATTTGCCTGGGACTTTCTATAGACTCGAACCCATATATGCATGGGAAAAACAAAACAAAACAAAACAAAACAAAAACAGAAACAGAAAAACGGAGATTTTCTTCATTAAACAGATTTTGTCTGCTGGCTAAATGATGTATTCCATTAGAGCATGGGCTTTGCAGTCACTTCCAAAATTCCTGTATCTATGTGTTTCCTGATGAATTCAGGATTCACTTTTCCTGTTTTCCAGAACAGCTGTTTGCCCTGCTCAAACTCCACCTCACACGTTGCTCCCAGGATCCTGAAGCGATGTGAAGCGAAAGCAAATTTTTCTGGATGCTTTTGGGAAGGCAGCTGCCCATGATCAGCTGCTTATGCTCATTATTTTGGTTGCGATAGCCATGGGAACCACCAGTTGTGCTCTAGACGGGAGCTGCTCTGCTCTGATCTCTGATAATCTCTGCAGGCCTCGGCAGTTAAGGGTAGTTGCTCAGAAACGCTTCATGCTGGTTTATTTGTCTTATTTGGAGCAGTGACTTCAGAAGAAGTGAGCAGAGCAGTGCGTACATCATGAGTGAGTCAGGAGAGTTTCGCCACTGCAGAAATTATGACAAGAGCTGAAGCAAGTCAGGCAGGGAGGCAGACAGTTATTTTAACTTCTAACCCAGTGCTGCAGCGGCAAATGAAAAAGCGAGTGAACTTGCTGGATGGGTGTTTCAGGCTAGTGAGGTGAGTTAATGGCATATTGCCCTCAGAAAGCAGATTAACTGCTTTTGCTATATGCTAACTCTTCCTTCCTAAGACTTTCTTTTTCAACAACAGAAACAATGGAGACACAAAACTCATGTGAGAGCAAGAGGGGAACCCTAGACCCCTGAATCCCATTTCTGCACAGCCATCTCCCTAACCTCTTCTTTATATTTATGGGTCTGTATGCCCAGATGGCATTCTACTGCGTAGAATGTGTGTCACTACCCTGTTTCCTTGCATATAAATACGGAGGCAGCATTTTCTGCCTGGCTTGTCAGCTTTTGGCAGAAGTTGAGCTAGTTTTGGCCTTTTTTTTCCCCCTGGAAACAATTATTATTCCATCCTTCGGCTAGTGCATCGCTATTGCAATCCAGCACAGTGTGTCCTTCTAGCAAGAGAGACTGCCAGGACTTGTTTTTTTTAGAAACTCAACCTGAGAGTTTTCAAAAGCCTGGGGATCCGCTAACCCAGTTTTTAGGAATAATAATCGCTTTTCCTCCCCTTGGCCACGTGCTCCAGCAGCTTCGGCCCGATTCCTGGAAAGCAGAGGCAGCAAGAGCGCAGAGGCTGCTGCGGCGGAGAGGAGCAGAGGGGA